GTGCGGGAGCCGGGGCGGCCCTGCGACCCCCCCCGGGCCGGGGGAGGGGGGGAGCGGATCCAGCCCCTGCCTCCGTTTCTGCAGCTCCTCCATGCGCACCTCCGGGCTCTTCCAGGTGCTAAAACCGCTGCCTGTGACAAGGGGCAACTTTCTCCAGCTGGATTTCACTTTCTTTACCATGTCAACGGAGGGTGTTAACTTTGGGCGCAGTTTTTCTTATTCCCTCGAGCTGCTGCTTAGTTTTGCCTTTCGAAGCGTGTTATGTTTGATGGTATTCCTACCACTGCGTTTCTCTGGGAGAGCAAGGGCTGTCTTGCAGTGCTGGGGGGAAGCAGAACCATCGTGTTTGCATGAATTACTTTACAGTCAGATATAAGTAACTCAGAGGTTTGATTTTGGGTTTTTTTTTTCTTAATTATATCTTTTTAGAAAAGTTCCGCAACTCAGAAGTAGTGTTACTTTTCTTGTCACGTTGGTGTTCCTTTGCATGGATGTTTGTGGCATGACATGATGCTTTGTGAATGGTAGGATGCGATAAACCGTTTTTTCGCTATGGAATGATATCATAGGTTGCAAATTACACGACAATCAATTTGAAAAAGTTTGTAATGACACATTTTCATCTGTCTGTGCTGTGTTAGGTTGTATTTTTTTTTTTTTTTACTATTTTTTTGTAAACGCATCAAATAACGGTAAATGGAAATTGTGGCTTAGATTTAAAGAAGTACTTGACATGATTCAGAAACCCTTCCTTTCTATTGCAGGTTAAATCAGCCATTGTTCCCGAGAGTCCTCTCTTGTGCTGCTTTGTTGGAATTGACCCCGTGTGTTTAGATATTTGCCTCCGGATCTTCTGTTGAGCATGGCCCTGCTGAAGGGCAGTGCCCCCTGAGAAAACCACTCCTCAAGCGGAATCTCGGCTGTGACAGACTACTGAGAGCGGTACCACAGAAACTATGTAAGCTGGTCTTGCGCTCCTGGAGTAAACATGATGAAAACAGAGTCTTCAGGAGAAAGATCAACCCTCCGAAGTGCCTCTCCTCACAGGAATGCTTACAGAACTGAGTTCCAGGCGCTGAAAAGCACCTTTGACAAACCGAAATCAGATGGAGACCAAAAAACGAAAGAGGAAGGAGAGGCCTTGCAGAGCAGGGGAAGGAAATATGGCTCAAATGTCAATAGGATTAAGAACTTATTCATGCAGATGGGCATGGAGCCCAGTGAAAGTGCTGGAGTTACCCCCAAAACCAGGGGGAAGGGTGGCCCTCCATCGCCGCAAAGACGAATTAGGCCCAAAGAATTTGTAGAAAAAGCGGATGGCTCAATCGTAAAACTGGAATCATCTGTCTCGGAAAGGATTAGTAGATTTGATACTATCCATGATGGTCCTTCCTATTCCAAGTTTACTGAAACTCGGAAGATGTTTGAGCGAAACGCTCACGAAATGGGACATTCCAATCGCTATTCCCCAAAGAAAGAGAAAGTCGTTTCCAGTGAGCTTCCAGACGAATGGTGCAGCTCTAAGTCTTACAGAGGCAGCATGGATTCACTGGACAGTCTTAGCCCAAGGACAGAGACTGTCTCTCCAACTGTGAGTCAGCTCAGCGCAGTTTTTGAAAACACTGACTCACACAACGTAATCGTAGAAAAGTCGGAGAACAGTGAAGAGTACTCTGTAACTGGTCACTATCCGCTAAACCTCTCATCTACTGTCGCGAATATCTCCTCCCCAGTTGCAAACCTTGAGGGTTTCAGTCCTCTGAAAGATAGCGGCACGTGGTCTCCACCAGCCAAACAGAATACAGGCTTGATGTCTGCTGAGAACTCTCAGCAGAACAGCACGCCTTCAGCACTGAGACAGAAGACATCCACGGGCACTTCAGCAGGTTCAAAAACAACTGAAGAAATAAAGAAGAGTACAGAGGCAAGTGCTGATTCTGTTGAGAGCACTGCATCGAGTCAACAGGATTTGGTCAATGTGCTTGACAGCGAAAGATCTGTGGACAGCTGTGCTAGGAGTAAGTCAAAAACAGAGGCAGAAGTTTTGTTGCAACAAAAGGAACGGTCAGAGCATGCAGAGGGTATCTTTGATAGACCCGAAGCTGCAGAAGCACCAAGAAATGTAGCTTCAGGTGGTGATTTTGCCACAGATGCTGTTTCAGACACTACCGAGTCCCATTATGATGAGGCAAGTGAAAAAGAAGTGCATGAAGATGTGAATAATTTTCAGAGTTCCCACGTGTACATGCACTCTGACTACAATGTGTATCGGGTACGATCGAGATATAATTCTGACTGGGGAGAGACAGGTACAGAGCAGGATGATCAGGATGACAGTGATGAAAATAACTGTTATGAACCTGATATGGAATATTCTGAAATTAGTGGATTGCCAGATGAAGATGAAATCCCAGCCAACAGAAAAATACAGTTTAGCCGTGCTCCAATTAAGGTAAAGTTTCCTACATTCCTTTTCTGCAGTTTGGTTCGTTTTCAAATGCAACTTTGAAGTAGATTTTGATCTCTGCTCTGAAAAAATTGCAGAGGATCTTTCGATACACATTTCATTACAGTCAGCATGATCTTAAATGAATTAAGGAAGCTGAGCTCTGATGAGCTTGTGTCATTTCCTAGACTACTTGATGGCTGACTAAACCAGCAGAAATTGAGAATGACAGCTGGGTTTGTGAAGTTTGGGAATTTTAACATGCATGTTTTGACTTATGTGACTGAACTGTAATGGCATGGTGAAATGTAGAAGTGGGTATTTGGTGGCCTTTGTTGCTTGATTTTTTTCGTTTGAAATCACAGCTTCTTTAGACTGGGTGGCTTTTCTTCAGCTCTTATCAGATGTTCTTTAAAGACCCTGTATTTAAACACTATGTCATGAAATACAGCGTGATTCTGTCTCAGTAGTAGAGGACTGTTCATATTCTGTGTCTGAATTTGTATCCTCTTTTCTAGTAGCATCTTCACTTTTTAAAAACTTTATTAAACATTAATATACATATATCTCAGTGCTACAGAAAGGCCAAAGTCAGCTGATTGAAATACCTAATGAAGGGTGGGTTTCTTGCAGAGCTTTTTTGGTTTGTTTTTAAGTACCTTGAAATAACAGCTAAGAATGTTGTTTCAAGTATTTTTGGTTCAGGAAGGAATAACTAGTTGTGTTTTGTTGTACCAGCTTTTCACTGCTGAGTCTCAGAGTTAAGTATTCTACTTCTGAGTTGCTTTTAATGCACACACTCTCAAATGGACAATTCAAAACCGTAGTAGTTTTTTCCAGAAATAGCTCTTGAAAAAGCCATGTATGGTGGAGTACTTGAAATCTAAACATTTTTAAATTAATGATCTGTAATTGGCTGTATTTTAATTATATGAGCTTAGTAGTGAAAATTATTAAATCAACAACCATAAGTTTCACTATCAAACTTGAAGTAATGTGATTTACAAAATCTGCGTTTACACCACCTGTGCTTTAAGTTAGCATAAAATCTATATTTGTATTGGGACGTTTTAATCTGAATGAAGCAACCAGGTTTTCACATCTGTTTATTGGGGGGTGAAGGGATGGGAATGGCCTTGTGTTCTTCATGCTTCTAAAAGACCATTTTTTACACTGAAACAAAATATTCTGAGCCAAGATAATGCGTTTTTTTGTTTTGTTTTGGTAGTGTTTTATTCAGGCTTGCGTCATGGACCAAAAATTCTAACAGTGTGCTCCCTTGAGATTATTCCCATAATTAAACTAGCTGGTTTTCTTTAATTTTTTTTTGAGATGAAGTAGAAAAAAACTTCTATTCCAAAGGATTAGGAATGCTGTCCCCCCCGCCCCGCCTTCCCCCTCAGGCTGTACTAACAGGCAAGATGATGTTCTCTCTTCTGAAAGATCTACCAATTATGCACCGAGGTTTGTTTTTTATCATATTTGTTATGGTTCCAACGGCTAAGGGTTCAGAAAGTGATTACGCTGATGTTATTCTTGAGATGGTTGGATTTTCTTCTGTTTCTGTTTTGAAAGAGCTAACAGTGACATGATTACTTCAGTATATTGCCGTCGTCTGTTTGAACCATGCTGTCATGCCAAGTGCTAGAAGAGTATTCTCCCAATTAGTTATAAAATTTTTCTTCTCAGGATCTTCATGCTATGTTCATTTCAGATTACTATTATCAAGTAATAATAACAGTCCATCAGGAAGATGCTCTCAAAGTCATTTGTGTAAATAATAAAAGAGTACATTTGTCATGGTTTTCAGCATAAAGCACTCTTAACAAGCTTGTCCAAAATAAAAGAATTGTTGCTTTAATTATTTTAGCATCTTCATTTGTAGATAGGAAGAAAGTGGAATAAAAGCTGCATTGAGAGAGAACAGCGTAGGAGAGATAGGGAGGTTTGGGAGATCCTCGTGTGATTGCTTTTTGTCCCGGGTGCCTTCGGTGCATGCAATGCGTTAGTCGTTTGGGGAAGCAGAAGTAAGAGCACGTGGAAGGCTTGCACTAAGACAAAGTAGTGCAGCAAAAGTTATGGAAAATTAAAAGCTGCTTCTTGAGCCTTCCTCCCTTTTCTCCACAGCTCTCTGTAATTCCCTCGCCAATGTCAAGCAGCGTGAGCCCTGGCGGGCTGCCAGCAGCATCAGGTCACTGCCTGGCCACGCCGCCACGGGCAGGGACCTGGGAAGGGCAGCTGGAGAATCCCCCGGTGGGTCCTCAGAGGCTTGCGAGTCTGTGGGCTCCTGCCGCCGCCGAGCTGACAGCGCTGCCAGTTCAGCACGCTGCTGGGAGGTCGTGAACAGGCTCTGGCAAGCGGTTTCTGCCCAGCAGATGGGTGCTGAGGGCAAGGGGGGGACTTGTGTTCTGTCCCCTCTCACAGTGCTAGCAGGTGAATTTACCTGATCACTCCCTTCACCTGTCTGTTATATGGGGATGATGCTTGCTAGCTGAACAGACAGCAGCTGTTTAAGAATTTTTCTGTTCTGGCAATTTTGTGTGTTAGTGGGCATAACTGATTTCACCAATACTTTCCTGAATGTCATCTCATGCGTAGCGTAACTGAGAGAGAGCAAAATACGAGCAATGTAGCAGTATTTTCTGAACTGTTGAAAACTGATGTCTTTATTAAAATGAAGCAATTTGTACTTAACTACTCTGCTAGATCGTGGTGTGAAAAGTCCAGCCCAAACTCTAGATGCTTACTGCTGATTTCACAGTATTGTCCCTCCACTCTCCTCCCACAGGTGAGCTCTGAAATAATTAACAAAATTGACATTTGAATGTGTATCCTGTGAAAGGAGTGGGTAGTTGTTGCCATAAAGTTGTTACCTGAAGGTCTTGACAGGTTTAGATAAACATCTTTGAACTATTTTTCCAAGGGATTTTTCAGGTAGACATGTGTAAGAGGTGAATGTGAAGAGCAAAGAGATGTTGCTTACCACCAAGGGGAATCCTTTCTGTCCCTTTAGAGGAAATGTTGCAGGCTATGAGAAGTAATGAAGTATAGGCAGAAGGATGAATGAATAAAATCTTACTCATCAAACTGATAAGCATTGAATTCTGCTCATCTCCCAAGCAGGAAAAAACCCACAGCTATTGAGAAACTCGCTACAAAGAGAAGGATTCAAGTCAACAAATGCAGGAAATTGTGCTGTGTTACAGTCTGTAATCTTGCTATCACAGATCCCATGCTCCACAGGCCATTTACTTTGCTCTAGGATTATGGGATATGTTTGCTGATCTTGTCTCTGTTGCAAGTCCCTTTAGGAGTAGGTGGCTGCCCAGGGGCCATTGCAGGCTTGGAGAGTTGCTAGGTATTTGGAGTGTGGCATCACTGAGTTGTTGTGCATGTCTGTGCGAGCTTAGGTCAGCTTGGCACCGTTCAATTAAAAGTAGCCTAAAAAGGCCCAAGAATTGGTGCTGGTAGTGGGAGTGGGTATGAGTGTGTTGCTAAACAAGGGATGTGCACACTGATAGAGCAATTAATGTGTTTATGTAGCGACATAGAGGCCTTCATTGGCACTGGCCTGTTCTTGTGGCGAGGTATTGTGTTTCTGCCCAGGGATAGAACTGAAACTCTACAAGGCAAGTGTAAGAGGTGAAAAAGTTAAGTAAATGTGATGAGGGAAAAAAAAACCAACCTGGTTTTGCCAGGGATACTTCTCTTCTACACAAAAAAGCAGAACCTCTGTGATTTATTGGCCTTTTGTTGAGTTTTACAGGGTTTCCTGGAGGTTGGGTTATATGCTGCTTCTCAGACATTGCAGGCTAATTGGACACAGTTTGCCAGTAGTGCAAAATTCATTAGCTCATGGCTTTCCATGCTCTAGCAAATGGAAATGTATTGATTGTCCAAATCGTAGTCCTTTTTGAGCCATGCTTCCTCCATCCTGGATAGAATTAGGATGGAAGAGTAATGTTCACCTCTTCTTCTCTCTCCAAATCCAGAATATCTGGTATAGTGATAGCCGATGGCTGCATCTTCTGTTAGTGCCCTATTTCTGGCGCCAGGTACATGTTAAATCGTTTAAAGCTGTTAGCAGCAGCAATTGCTACCTCCTGCTGAGCCTCCTTTTGCAACTTTCTGCTCTGCTGACTTGGCCCTGCCTGGCGAAGGGGTTGGCGAGGGTTGGGCAGTATGTCATCGGACCGTACGGCAGACAGCAGCTCGCTTGTGCTGCAAGGAGGGTTTTAGCCCAAGCCACTGCTGCAGTTTTCAGGGTTCCAGAAAGCTTCCTTAGGGTGCAGCAGTGGTGAAGGGACCTCTCAGCATACCCCTCTGTGTTTTCGGGCGGGCGGGAGCGAGGGTGACAGGAATGGAAGGGATATAGCAAATGGCTCTTCCATGCTTCAGATAATTCCATATGAAGGGATTATGATCACTAGTGCGTGTGCCGCAGATGTTCTTCTCTTTTGTCATGGAACATGACTGAATTTTATATTCTATAGCATTTTACTTTTCCAGATTGTGTTTTGTTCAAATGGTCTTCAGGAATTCGAATTTTTGCCTCTCTCTCTCTCTCCTCCCTCCCCCCCAAGCCTTTGAAGATGTTTTACAAGAAGTGCTGTGACTGTAGTTTAGTGTAAAATATAAATGATGTTTGTATTGAACAGTTGTTTTGAAAGTTCTTATGAACTATACAGTGCTTTTTCTTACTGAAAATCAGTTTGAGGAGCAAGTCTTTCAGTTATTCCTCATTTCTCTCACTAAAATGTGTTTGAGAATGCAAATAGTAGCGAAGAAAGAATCTGAAACAAGCTGACCTTGTAATTACTTTGGAAATTCTAAAATATTATTATTCTTTGTCTGGTAAGCATAAAAATAAAGTATGCTGGAAACATTTTCAAGTGTTACTGTAGAGGAAAAAAAAAGTGTTTCTTTGCCTGGTTAAATGTTCAGTATGGTATTTAGCTGTTGTTAAAATGTTGAACATTTTGGATCATAGAAGTCATAGGTGAAGG